GAAACTGCAAAATGATTTTCCAAAGCATTTGTAATATTTCAGATTTCCATGAGCAATGTATGTGATTTCTGGTCACTCCTTGTGAGCATTTAGTATTGTCAGAAGTTTTTTACAATTATTTCAGTTCTTCTAGTGGGTGTAAATTACATCTAGTTGAAATTTTATTTTGAACCTCTTTTATGTCTAATCATGTTGAACATTTTTTTACTTTGGCTATGAGCCATTTGTCTGCTTCCTTTTGTAATCTATTTGTTCAGATCTCTTGTCTATATTTTAATTGATGATTTTAAGTTGAGTTACTTTTTTTTATATTCTGGGAATAAGCCATTTGAAAGATGTGTGTAATATATATATATATATATATTTCTTAACAGTGGCCTTCCTATCTATTTTATTAATGCTGAAACTGATTATCAGATTTTTATAAAGTTCAAGTTAACAGTTTTTAAAATGGCAAGTGCTTTTAATGTCCTAAGAAATCATTACTCACATGAAGGTTATAAGAATATTCATCACTTAAAAAAATGATAATGACTTAGCTTTTACATTGAAGTCTATCATTTTTCTTGATTTAATATGTATATGCTGTGTATTAGGGACTGTGGCACTTTATTGAAAATCACTTGTCTGTGTATGTACATTTTTTAAAGCTATAATAATTTTTTGTTGTATTGCTTTTTATTCAGGGAACAATGCACAGGTTTATAACCCAGTGTATGACTCAGATGCAGTTTGTGCTTTCTTAATTTTTCTTCATCAGTCTAGCTTGGATTTTAATTTCATCAGTCATTTTAAAGAACCAACTTTTGATACCATTTTTCCCCCCTCTGTTACTTATTTTCTGTCTTAGAGGCTTCTTTTTTTAATCTGTTGTTATTCTTTTTTTTAGGATTTATTTATGCATACAGAACTGGGGTACAGGCCAGTGGTGCGGTGGTGAGAGGATTCACCAGACAGAGTGGGGAGCAGAACAGGCAGATCACAAAGTACACTGCTGAGGGGAGCAGTGGTGGGGTCAGGAGGGTCAGGAGAGGTCTGTCAAGCCATGTGGATCCCCCTCGGGGGGCAAACGAGGGGGTTTCCAGGGGTCTACTCATACTGAAGCGGCTGAGGCCAGCTTGCAGTGCTGTGACCTAACCTGTCGCACCACCAGGGAGGGCCTTAATCTGTTATTTTATTCCTTCTAACTTTGAGTTCCACTTCTTCTTTTTCTATCGCTGTAAGGTAGTATCTTAGATTATCCCTCTTAAAATTTTCATCTTTTCTATTTAAACTTTTAAAGCTATAAATTTGTATCTAAATCCACGCTAATTATTGTTCACAAATATTGATTTTTTCATTGCTATTCACTTCAAAATATTTTTCAGTTTCTTATGTCATTTCTACTTTGACAATGGAGTAGATTGCTAATTTCTTATCACTGGGATTTTACTAGATATTACGTTTTCTTAGATTTGTTACTTTCTTGTCATTATTGTATATTGATTTCTAAATTTAGCCCATTATTAAGTACATACTTTGCATATTTTCATTATTTTAAATTTATTGTTACTCACATGATGGTCCTGTTTAATCTGTAAAAGAAAATGTGCTCTGCAGTTGTTAGGCATGGAATTCTATGAAATCAGCTAGGTTAAGTAGGTAAATAGTGTTGCTACATTACCAATCCCCAATAAAAATCTTTAGTACTGGGTCTTTAAACAGTCTCCAGGGTAGACAATATTTCTATTGTGTTGTTAGTATCTCATCTCCAGAATATGTAGGTGCATCTCCTGTGATCATTATGTGAGAGAACTCTTAGAAGCTTGCATCTGGATTCTTCTGGATTTCACCCAATGTGTCTTTGCCTTTCCTGATTTTGCTTTTAATCTGCTCACTGTAATGAGTCTTTTTTGACAATCACATTTTGTCTTTATTGGTTTTCTCAACTGGTTTCCTATTTTTAATTTCATTGATTAATGATCTACCAAAAAAAAATCCATTTCTTTTGCTTGATTTTGGGATCAATCTGCTCCTCTTATTTTTCTTTCTTTCTTTTTTTAAGTTTCCTAAACTTGAAGCTGAGAAGATTAAATTTAGATTTTTCTAATGCATGATTTCAATTCTATAATTTTCCTTTTCAACACTGTTTTTGTTGCATCTCACAAGTTTTGATAAGTTGTTATTTTTTTATTTTAGTTAGACTTTTGAGACTTTTTATTTGACTCGTGTTTATTAAAAATGTGTTGTTTAATTTCCAAATATTTTGGAATTTGTCCAGCTATCTTTTCGTTACTGATTTCTGTTCTTTAAAATTTGTTAAGGTGTGCCCTATGGCCCAGAATATGGTCTCTTTGGTGATAATGTTCCACATGAGTTTGAGAAGAATGTGTATTCTGCTGTTTCTTGTATGAAAGATTCTAAAAGTGTAATTAGTTCCAGCTGATGGTTCTGTTTAGCTTAACTAGATCCTTACTAGTTTTCTGCCTTTTGGACTTATTAGTTACTGAGAGAGGGTGTTGAAATCTTTAACTGTAATAGTCTATTCACCTATTTCTCCTTGTAGTTCAATCAATTTTTACCTCATGCCATTTAGCCTTGTGATGTTAGGTCTATACACATTGAAGATTGTTTTATCTTCCTGGAGAATAAGCCACTTTGTTGTCATGTAATGTAATTTCCCTTTATGAAATTAATGTAGTTATTATTATTTTCTTTAGATTAGTATTAACATGGTATATCTTTCCTATCATTTATCTTTTTAATCTTTTCTCTATTTAAAATTGATTTCTTAAGTCAGCATACTTAGCTACTTTTTTCTCTACTATCCACTCTGTACTCTGATGGTCTCTGCTTTTAAATTAGCATATTTAGACCATTCACATTTAAAGTAATTATTGATAAAGTTGGATTGCTGTTTACCATATTTGTGACTTTTCTATCCATTGTCCTTGCTTGCTCTTCCTTCCTTCTACTCTTTTTCTTTTTTTTTGCTTTCTATAGTTTAACTTGAGCTTACTATAGGATGTAATTTCTATCCTTTCTTAGCATATGTATTATAATTCTTTCCAAATTGTTTTAGTGGTTGCCTTATAGTTTATAATACATACTTACAACTAATTTAAGCCCACTTTTGTGGGAAATGTATTTGCCTTATGGCAGATCCTTATGACATCCCCCAACCACTTACAACTTTCCTGACATTCATTTCATTTATCCATAAACTATAATCATCCAATAATTTGTTGCTGTTACTATTTTGATGTTGCCTGTCAGTTCAGCTATGAAAAAGAGATTCTGAATTTTACTTTTATTTATTCCCACTCTTCTTATGTGGATCAGAGGGCTTTTTAAAAAAAAATTTTTACATATATGTTGTTTTCTTTGAAGAAGTTTTAATGTTTTCTTTTTGCATGGAAGTCTAGTTACAAAAAAAAAAAAACTCCTTCAATTTTTATGTATAAAGTTTGTTGTTCTTCATCTTTGGAAGATAATTTTTCTGAATAGAGAATTCTAGATTGGTGGGATTTTTCTTTGAATCATTGAAATATTTCATTGCACTCTCTCCTTTTTAGTTTGGATTTTGAAGAGCTGTATGAAGTAATGATTTTTCTTGTTCTTACTAGGTTAGGTTTTGTCTCTGCCATCTGACTTCAAATCTTTGATTTTTTTCAATTTGAATATGTACACTTACATGTAAGTTTTTTATATCAATGCACTTGGTGTTCTTTGAGCATCTTAGACCTGTGGTTTGAAATTGTCATGATTTTCCAACTTATCAACTGTTATTACTTTGAATATTCCTTATGCTCCTTCCTCTTTTTTTCTAGTATTCTCATTACGTATGTCATGTCTTTTCTAAGTGCCCTTTGGTGCTTGAATACTCTTTTCTTTTTGCTTTTCATTTGGGGAATTTCCTGCTACCATATTTTCAGGTGCTATGATTCCTTGTCTATGTCTCCTCTGTTGGTGAGAAGCCATCAAAATTATTATTTTCTGTTATAGTGTTTGTGATTTATAATATTTCCTTTGGATTCTTTCTTAGACTATCTCTTTACGTACATTATGCATGTGTCTTATTTGTTTTCTTCTTTTACATTAGTGTCCTTAGTATATCAGCAACATTGTATCGAGTTCCTGATCACATGATTCCAGACACACCTTCTATCTCCCATTTTGCAATTCTCTACAGTAGATAAGAGCAAACAGACTGCCAAAATTTGAATTCTGGCCGTAAGTTTCAGCTATGTGATCTTTGACTGGTTATGTAAACTCTCTATATTGATTTCCTTATTTTTGAATTGGGAATAATAATAAAATCGATTTCACAGAGTTTTAAGATAATTGAGTATATGAAAAACATTTAGAGTAATTTTTATCGCAGAGTTAATTTACTATAAATGTTAGATGATATAGACATTTGTAAACCATGCCAGCATACTTCTGTCTGAAGACCTTTGTCCTTGCTGGTGCCTCTGCCAGGGATGCTTCCTCCCAGACTTCCACATAACTCATGTTCTCCCTTCATTCAATCTCTGTGTCCACCATAGCAGTGAAGACTTTCCAAAGCACCACATATAAAAATATGGCCTTTTCCACTTCTGCTTCCTATTTATTCTGCTTTATTATTTTTTTCCATAGAAATTATGAGTACCTGTTATATACTTACTTATTATTTTTTTGCTGAGTTCTAGTCTCTGACTTAAATGTAAGCTATATTAGGTTAGGTTCTGTCTTCAAAATTTAAAGAATTAAAAAAATTTTAGGGCTCTCTTTCTATATTCATCTAAGGAAGTACTGTAAAATTTCTTCCTTCACATTTATGGTTTCAGAAAATATTTAATGTTTACTAATGACATTGACAAATATATAGCACTGTGAAAAAGTTGTCACAAACTGTACAAAAACTAAAAAAGTGATTACAGAGCACCCTGTGTAAATGTAAGAGTCAGCCAGAGCTTATGCACAGATATGTCTGAGCTCAAAATCCTCATGCTATGTTTTGTGACTTTCTCTTTCAGTATGAATACTTCAATGCCGTACTGATAAATGAAAGGGACAAAGATGGAAATTTTTTGGAGCTGGGGAAGGAATTCATCTTGGCTCCAAATGACCACTTTAATAATTTGCCTGTGAACATCAGTCTAAGTGATGTCCAGGTGCCAACAAACATGTACAACAAAGGTAAGACTCATGCTATTGCTCTTTTTAGAGGGTGCTATGTACGGTGTTGAGGGGCAGAGGTGCCACTTTGGGATATTGTGTTTTGGAACACAATCCCAAGTGGGATATGTTACCCCCAACTAACATGTGCATTGTGTGCCTGTTCTGCCTTGGAGATTCTGGATTTGCTATTTCCCCAGCTGGTGATAGCATCAAGGTCTCTAACATCTGGTCTAAGGGTCCACAAACATTTTCTGTAAAGGGCCAGATAATTAGTGTCTTGGCTTGTGGGCCACACAGCCTCTCTCGCAACTACTCAGCTCTGCTGTTCTGGCACAAATATAGCCATAGATGATATGTAAATCAGTGGAGATGTCTGCGTTCCAGTAAAACTTTTTTATCTGTAAAAACAGATGACTGGATTTGAACTGCTGGCTGCAATTCACCAACTTCTGATGTAATCCATCGCTCTCTTTCTTTACTTCTTGTAATGATATTTAAGGGCTTAGTAGCTTGGAGCTGTGAGAGTCCTAAGCAGCACAGACCTTACTGGAACTTCACGCTTTTAGACTTGTGTTCCTCAAATCCAGTCTTCATATTGGCTTTAGAGCTCGTTCCCCAAAACTGTCTGCCCATTTGAGTTGGAGTTATAGTAGCCAGGTGCCTGGTACTGGCATTCCATTGCTTATTAGCTGTAAGCCTAGGCGCCCCACCTCATTCCTCTAGAAGTCAGTTTCCATAGCTCTAGGATGTGATAAAAACTGTCTACCTCCTGGGGTAGCTGTGAGATGGGCCATTGCCACTAGACAGATGATGTTTATGAAGGACTTAAATTAAGGATGTTATTTTCTGCATCTTCAGCATTTTGGGTAGGGTTTTGTTCTGTTCAGTTGTACTAGAAAGCTCCTAAGCAAATAACCATTCTCCCAGAAAAATAAATCAGATAGTTCCACATAAGAACCTGCCACATTGTCTGCCATCAAGATTATGAAAGTATTCAGACCATTTTCCTTCACCCTACCTTCCCACCCCATGCCGGCATCATAGACAAGAGTTCAGTGGTGAAGCGCAAGGGCTCCCGATTTGAATCCCGCCTTCCCCTTGTTGGCTCTGTGATCCTAAGCAAGTAACTGTGCCTCCCTGAGTCTCAGCTGCCCTACTCATAAAATACAGAGTATATACTCCCTCGGTGTTATTATCAGTATATAACATAATGCATGTGCAGACTCAGCATAATTATCACTCACAGAAGGTGCTCGGTGCCTTTTAACTGTCATTATTATTGTTGGGAAATCACATCTTCTATTAATTGCCCTTCTAAATTGTTCTAGTTCACTGTTGAGTGAACTAGAGAGCTTTTCACTCACTATGGCTGAAACCTTTTTCTCATACCTGTCTTTTGTGACTGGATCCTGAATGTCTTCCTTTCTTCATATACCCTCAATATTCAGTGGAGACAGGGCCCATTTGTTTTTGTCCTGATCATTATCCAGGACTCCATGGTGAGCCAGCTGTAGCCACACATTTACTTGGGAACAGGCAGGTGATGAGCTATCAGGACATCCTGTACCCGCTGCAAGTCAGAGTGATGGGAAGTCCTTATTAGGGGAGTACTTGGGAGGGGGTCTGTCCACTTGCTCAGGTGTGGGGCCACACACTTGTCTTTTTCTTTCTCCCTTTGAAGGTGATGTCTGTCTGAGCCACCCATGACAGCCTACTGCCATGAGCTGTGTGTTATGAACTAATCTTAACTTTGGACTCTTTCTTAGAAGACAAATTCCACCAGGCCCTAGAGGGCTAAGCTTCATCTGGTGCAGTTTAGTCCATCTTGTCAGCTGAGGAAGGAAGCCCTCTGGGGCATATGGCTGGAAGAAAGCCATCCCTCAGCATTAATGACATTCTCAACTGAAGATGAAGAATTAACAAGATTTAACAAAGTAATTTCAGACATTAAACAGTTCAGAATGATCTTTTAAAGTATGGCAGTTGCTTCAAGGTTGCCCGAGCCATTAGCACCATTACAGAGATTTAATTGCTCCTTGAACTTTAAAGGCCTAATTGTACATTTCATTGAGGAACACCTATAGGACCTGGACTGCCATTGATCACTCACACTGTAGAATTGTGGCTGCAAGCTTGCTCGGCCGAACCCTAAAGATTGTCAGACACGTGAGCTGTGGAGGAACATTATGACATTAAAGCCATCCTCAGCAGCCCTGTGGTTTCTGCCTACCACCTCTATCCCACACTCAGTCATCTTCCAACCAGGCTGTGGGATCGTGGACCAAGGTCAGCCAGGCTTTGTATTATCTTGTCTTTGCCAAGCAGTGAGTAGCTGCCTAAAAGGGGGGGGGGGGGGGTGTGTTTGTGTGTGGGGGGTTTTTTCCTGTCTCTATTTTACCTAATTCAAACCAGCCCCCCAAAGTCTTTTTTCTTTTCAAGCTGCAGCCTCCAGCCCAGATCTAGTTATTGATGACATGTACTGAAAACACATGCTCAGAGCTTGGCCACTGGCTGTGACATTCCGGGTTAGAAATCTTGCCCCCATCAGAGGAAACCAGTACAGGTTCCTCCTCCCTGGCAGCTAGGACCCTGTGGGTACACAACAGACTGGTTTGCTCCTTGTTCAGGCGCTTCTGTATGCTGAGCTCTTGGGCAGAATCTAGTGGGCAGTGAAGCTGGCTGATAAAATCTCCCTGTTTTCTGTAGTTTGCTCTTTGTCTCCTTGGCTAGGCCATGCAGCCTGGCTCTTCAGCCAAGTCAGCACTTATTCTGTGCCTGAGGCACCTTCCTGTGGGCCTGAAAAGAGGCTTTAGAATTGGTGGCATGTAGGCAAGCTGTAGTACTGGCCCCAGAACTGAAAAAACATTATTCCTGAGGTCTTTAGATATGTGTCTCAGGTGCCTGCTGCTGTAGTTTCTTCCCGAAGCCTCTTCAAGAGATGTTTGCTGAGTGGCCACTGGGGCACCCCCAGACTGAGTCTTCTGATCTGCGAGGCTTCTTGGAAGACATCCTCTGTGAGTAAAGCATGGGGCAGGATGAGATGGCTGATGATCTGACACTAGATTCAGATACAGCTGAACTCCTTTTACAGTGTGTTGCAGGCTGTTGTGGCATAAAATTTACATATACACAGACACACATGTACATATACACAGATACACATGTGATATGGGATACACATATAGTAGATTATACTTGTGTATGTGTGTGTGTACATATGTGTAAAAGAAAGAAACTACTCTATTCTCAACTTATCCCTTAATTCCCATTTTTCTGCTCCACCCAGCTGAGACCCCCCCCTACGCCCCCGCCCCTTCTGTTCAGAGTGCACCTTACTCTTTCCATTTTGTCTTGCTTCACTCCCTGGCTTTTTCCTTTTCCTGCTTATCCAAAATGCTTATTCTTAAAAACTAGCTCAATGCAATTTCTTCAATCCCTTCACTCTTTTGTTACGTAAGTGACTTTGCTTTATTTCTTTGTTCTGGTATTGCTATGTTCTAGCATCACTTTGTTCCAGAAGTGCAATGCAGACATGTTTTGTGTTTTCCTTCTTACTTGGAGTTCTCTGAGGGTGGGAGATCCTGCTGACTCAGTCTGGTGTCCCCTTTGCCCCTTATGCCTTGCTTTCTACACATTAGGCTTTCTGCAGCTGTGGGGTGAGGTGGCTGCACCGAGATTGTGCCTCCTGGCCTGGGAGCAGTCCCCCAGGACTCTGGTGTTTGCAAACAACAGAAATATACCCTAGCTGTTCTAAATGGAAAAGACATTGTTTTAAAAGGCCACTGAGTGGCTCACAGATGCTACAAGAAAGCTTGAGAATAAGGTCTGGGAAGTGGTAGGTAGGCAGGGCCAGAGCCACAGCCAGGGTCTGCGCCATAAGTATCTTGAGATCATGGCCTGCCTCCCGGCCCCATGGGGTGACACAAAATGTCTGTGCTTTTCTTTCCTCTCCCATACACTGGAGAAAAATCCCATGATCTGCTTCAGGGTTGTGGAGAGGATAAAATGCTTCAAAGAAGGCTGGAGCTCTGTGGCTACCCAGTACATAGTTGGGGCAAGTTTCTCCTCCCCTCCAATCTTTGGCATCCTTAGCTGTAAAATGGGGCAGCCCTGACTTGGGGGGTCACTGTGAGCACTGCCAGGATGACACACGTGTGGCTTGCAGATGGCTTTGCAGCTCGCCCAAAGCCTTTGGCTTCTGTCACCTGCTGGAGGGAACATGTGTCCCTGCCCTGGAGTTGCAGTCACAGGCTCAGGTGAAGCGTGCAACCTCTGCGAAAGCAGGTCCTTGGCTGGCACCAGCACAACCTACCGTTATTGTGACCACACCAGTTTGCCATTCTCACAGGCAATTATGTGCAGGGAGGAAGAACTTGAACTCTGAGAGAGTAACAGTGGGTCACGGGTCCCGCGGCAGGGAGAGGCAGGATGAGTCCTCTCATAACTCGCCCACTCAGGGCCTGCAGGCCTGTGAGCCATTTTTCACTAGGGCAGCTATAAGGAAAACGCAGTCATTTGGCTGTCAAATATATTTGTTTTAAAGTACTCCAAACCCAAGAACTGGAAATAGAATAATGTTTAGACTATAAGTCTCTGCTTATATCTTCTCATGTGGTGGTTGAAGACCATGAATGGGTACCTTTAGGATTGTGTTGTTCTATTTCTGACTACTAACCTGAGGTTACCCCCTTCTTTGTTCGATTTGCTTTCTCCCTGTCATTCTGCAATAACTATGAAGCAGAAAATAAAATAGAATAAAAACAATGATAGGAATGTGCCAATAGATAGCATTAAATACAAATGATTTTGTAACTTGACTGGTGGAGGCAGGGGGATGAAGCCTGTAGCATGTGAGTTTTTCAGATTCATGCAGAAGAGAAGCAAAGATAATAGCTTCCTTTTTAGTAGTTTTAGGCTGGAAGAAAGAAAATGCTAATTTTAGCAGTAAATGGATTTAAACATCTGTACCACTTTACCACCTTGGCTTCATTCTCTTTCCTCTGTAGCCCCACAAGGGC